CATTCCTGCATATGTCTAAAAAGGAATCCTGCATTCATCAACTCTTCCCCGAAATGAAAATAATCTCTAAGCTTTAACTACAGATAAATTTGCATCTGGATATTACGGAAACCTATATAAAATGTAGAAAAAAAATACTAATTTTAAAAATTGCATAATGTTATGTTAGGTCTCCTCTTGAAGAATCTCAAAATTTCTAATATGATTCTTTCACACATACTCTCTCGCTCCACACTACACAACAAATTCAGGTTTGTCTACCTATCAATGCTCAAGAAAGTTAAGCTGAATGGACTTAAAAAATGTATTAGTTCAACTGCATGAACTCTTAAGCAGACCCTCCTGTTCTGAATAAAAATAATATTAATTCAGTTGATCTTATTTCACCTCCCAATCAACTGTAACACCACAACAAACATTATCCTGATTGTATATCTTCACTGAACTGAAGACAAACTTAGAGAGAAATGGCAGTCATTTAATTATGCACCTTTTCATTACAGTTGCAAGCAGGAAAACATCTCCCTGAACGTAAATCACTATCACAGGGCAGTAGCACTTTATCATCCAAATACAAATTTATTAAAGCTCCAGGATTAATGTTACATTTTTTTATTAAAATTGCACAGGAAAAGAAATGTAAGATTATTAACCACAGTTTCAGTGTTTGGGTTTTATTTATTTATTTCCAAAATGAATATATCTGATTACGAGTTATCACCTTATTGTCATTAGTCCTCTTGCAAAAATTCTAGAAATGCAAATACTATAAATATGCTTGGTCAGCAATTGTTACTTGATATAAAACACATTTTGCTTAAAATAATATATTGTTTTTCCTCTGTACATCTTTGATGAGCATTAGCTACATCACTTGTGTCCATTAAAAAAATCAAAAATCAAAGGATTCTGAAATGCTGTAGTCGTGTAAGATTGCTCTGGTGACCCCCCCAAGAAAATGAGCATTTGTTGACAAGCTCATGCATCAAAATATAATTCTATGATGGCATGAAGAAGAATGTGCGATGTGTAAGCTGTTGCCATTGCTAAGAAAGGAAGTCTTACAGGAGTGATCACCATGGAGCTTTATGAGAAACATGCTGCTTGCAAGCAGTTCAAGAGCAGCTCTGATGCCAGGGTCAGACCGTACAGGTACCAGTGGTGCTGTGCTGTCCCACAGCCTTGCAGGTGACACTGAATCCCAGCTGATGACATGTACAAACTCATCAGACCTGAAAAAGCTCATCACTCTTATCTTCTGCTTGCAAAGTGACCCTCAAAGCTCATGGGCTCCCTTGACATATATGTCTTATGATTCTTAAGTATGCCAACACGTTGGTATTTAGCTCGTAGGGTCAGGAGGGTGGGCTGTGCCTGTCCATCTCTAGGCTCAGTGTGCTGCAGGACAGACTCTTCCCCCAGACATATCGTGTGAAAGAATGAGTGGTAAACACAAGCAATCGATGCTGCCTTTGATCCTATTTCACCTTCTGTTCTTGGCTACCCACCGTGAGAGGAGGGAACCAATGCTGCTGAATTCTGGCCATTGGTCCCATTAAAAGTACCAAATGCAAGCGTGTTTGGCCAGCTGAGACACTCCCCAGTAGCAGCTACCACCTGGATCATCTACTTCAGGCTGAACAACAGGCCAGAGAACAAGATGGTGACATCCAGGAGTTGAAGGACCACTCATATCAACCAACTTTGGGCACATAATTGAGACTGCTGCTCTTCCCTAAAAGACCTGCTTTCTCTACACTGACTACAGAGGGAGTCTGTGACACTCTCTGGACACAGCACTTATTTAGGTAGGCTGGCATGAATACCCAATCGTATCCTAGCATCACAGGCACAGATCGGTTGGAAAGAGAAAGTTATACATTTGGATGTTCCCCTGGAAACACAGAAGCCAAAGAAGGCTTCAGAAGTCCTTGGTTTCTACGCAAGGTTATGAGTGCAGTATCTCCCCAACACTCACAAAAAATGCCGGCTGGCTGCAAGTGATGGAGGGGTTACAAAGGGCAGCTCTGAAATGTTTTGAGGCATGAAGAGATTGGATCTAAAATTATTTGATGAGAATTTCCTCTCTACAGGAAGCACAGTTAGAGGCATCCCTGGTGATGGATGGGAGTCAGCACGAGCTGAACAAGTTCTGGAGTTCAGTGACCCATGCAAAGGCAAGTCACTGTCCTCATAGGCAGGAGAGCTGGTAAAGCTACCAGAAAAAACACAAATCAAAGCTGTGACACTGCCACATTTCATTTCTAGAAAAATAACCTTCTGGCAGGGTCTTTCCTTTCCTTCTATTTCCTTCAAACATTCATCTCCCAAACTCTTTTGCATCTTGGGATTACTGAATTCTGCTGCAGCCAAAGTAGTGAAACTCATTAGAAAGGTGGGTTAATGCAAACCCTGATGAGTGAAGCTGCTGCTACCACACTGACAAAGTTTTCACAGTGTGGTCTGTGCTATATGTGAAAGCTGCTATGATTTTCTCAAAAATGCTCATCCTCAGTGTTTCATAAGACCGTGAAACGCTGAAGATCACATTTTCTATAGCACTGTGGATGTAGCCAAGCAAAAATCCTGCATTTTGCCTCAATGCCCAGACATTAACTTCTTCCATTAGTTAATTATTCCCTTTTTTTTATTTATTTATTTACAATATTGATTCTGTTTTTCTTTAGTATTCTTTGCTTTCCTCCAAGGTTTCCACATATTATCCCACCTAGGAGGAAATGAATTGTGATATCCCACCAAACCTGAAGAAGTGTAAACTTGCATACTGCTAGGTTCTAGAAAGGACTGACATTAAAAAAACCAAATGTCACCTTCCCCCAACATTGCAAAAATAAAAAGTCAGTGGTGTCGGAGATAAGAATAAAATGTTTTAATTCATCTGGATATTTTTAATTGCACATTTTATCTTAATCTAAACTCTAACATTTATCAGAAAATAAAGGAAGGTTAGTTTTTAAAGCTTTTCTGAATTAGAATGAATTAGAGCAACAAACACTGCTAACATATCTGTGTTACGTATGCAGTCAGGAAACAGATCTAAATCTTTGTCAACCAAACCCAATTTTACTTTAAAATGGCACTAACCTTGAGTGTGTACCATCTCCTCAGCCACCATAAATTCTTGAGATACCCTCTGTACAAACAGCCATTTACATAATTATCGAACAGCTTTATTGGTTATTTCACCGGAACGGCCAGGCTGCCCTTAACTGGTTTTAATCTGTATTTTATACCATTCAGTAATCTTAATCTTTCTGAAGGTCAAAAATAACATACCTCTCAGCAATGGATTTTACCCTTCTTTAAAAAAATTACTAAATAACAACCACCATCTCCTCTTTTTCATCCCCTTGGAATTCCAATGATTCAAGTCAAATTTTCTGTAATGTCAGAAAAAGAAGCCTCTTCCTGCTAAAAACTTTGTCTTGAAAGCTCCCTTGCTCTTGATCAGCACTGTCCCCAAAAGACTGAAAACCCCAAAGTTAAACCCATTCTCCCCTCTGAGGGTGGGACGCATCTGACTGAAGCACATCTCCTCCTGGCCCCCTTCACAACCGGTGGAGTCCAGCTTCTCCAACTCTTCTCACCTTACCTAAAGCAGATATCTGAAATGGGCAGGATACCTCCTTGTAAATATCTCTTTCTCTGCACAAACTATTAAAAGACAGACCACGGATATGATTGTCTGAAGTATAGGCGTCAAACATGAACTATATCTCACCCTCAGTGTCAGAAAAGCTTCTGATCTCACCAGCCACGCACAAATCATTTTAAGGAGAGCATCAGAGAATGTTATTTCAGGCCTGTTTCCTTCATATATGATTCACAGGAGCGCAGTAAGTGGTTTCTTGCAAAGAAATGAGTAGAAATAGAAAAAAAAAAAAAAAAGCAGCATTGTTCTACCAAAAAGTATCTCAGAAGAAATCCCCTGATACAAAGCAGGATTAAGCTATACTAGTCTGCACATTTATTCCCTACTCTGAAAAACAAATAATTCACTATACTGGACACATTCTTTGCCTGGAGCTTTCCATTCATAAGGTTTAAGATGACTTGATGAAAAGCAATACTAAAAGCACTACCATTTATCCCTATACTCCTTGCACAAATTCACTCTCAGCCCTGAGAAATGGGGGCAAATAGCCACAATGGTTTCAGATCCACTACGGAAAAAATACATAAAATAGATCATCAAGTCAAAGCCTTCCGGAGCAAGAGAAATTGAAGTGAATGCGTACAGCAGCATTATCTATTACAGCCATCAGTCATTTGGACAGAGGCTGTTGACATAAAACCAGGATGTGTTGGCTCGGTCATTTGAGGGACAGAATTGAACATACTCCTGTTTCTCCACACACTACCCAAAAGACAGAGAAAAGGCCCCAAAATACTGCACAACTGCACTGGCTGGGGTGAGCTCAGCGAGGGGTAAGCCAAGCTCTCTTGCTCCTCTATGTGGCTCTCTAATATATCAAAAGCAGTATGGACACAGCATGTCTGTCTAAGCAAGTCAAACTGGGTGAAGCACGTTTATTAAACTGCAAGTAGACACCTAAATTCACAAAAAAGTGGAGCCTCCTCTTTCACATTTCCTATTAGTTATCTTCTCTTGCTTCCCACTGTTACCCACAGCCAGGTAAACCAGTTGTGGAAACCTCCGTCCCAGTCCTTTTTGTTAGCTGTTTTAGTGAACGTGAGTGTCCAATGCCAGCTGATGAATGCTGTCCTGTCTACTTTCCACTGGGAAAGGCAGAGAAACAATCACTGTTAATAATGTCCATGATTAATTCTACAACAGCAAGAAAAGAAAGATGAGGCCAAGGCCTTTCTAATAAGATGATGAAAATGGGACATGACAAAAGGCCCAAAATGGACACATGTTCTGCGCCTGACATTGGGCATGTGAACCCCAGCTAGGGCACTGTGCAAGCGCCATGTGCCCCCACTGGAGGCAGCCCTTGTCCCCGGGATGTGTCCTCTTCAGACACATGCTTTTCATTTTCCAAACAAAAAATGACAAGGTTTTCATTATGTCAGTTGCCCAAATGTATTATTGCTCCATTACAAGGAGCTGCAATGGTTTCTCAGTTTAAGCCTTTTAAAAGGAAAATATATCACAAGGGCTTAGAAATTAACCTCTTCGTGTCTCCAAAAATTTCAAGTCCATATTAGACATACATTGTCATTCCTATGGCTCCCCAAAAGGCTATTTTTTCAAAACTGTTACAATGAAACTTTTCTTCACCATCAAGCACACAATTTTTGCTTTCACTGCAGTGACATAGGTGTTTTCTCTGGATGAAAACTGAAATAAAACCTCTTCTGTGCAGTAGTGTATGTTTATTACAATTAACCAAACTAAAATTAAATTAAATTACAATAAATTACTCAAATTAAGTTACAGATAAAGAGCTTCATGGTGTACAGTTTTATAGTGAGGAAAAGCCATTCAAAGTCTAGTCCTCTTTACAGAGACTTGAAAAAAATACTAAGAGAAGGAAAACTGACTTTCTTTTACTGAACAATTACATGAGTGTCTATCTTGCCTCAGTGAAAAGTACACTGCTGGCACAAAATCATGATTGAAGCAAATTTTATTTCTCAATCAAAAACATTTGAATGTAATACTGGGCTCTAAGACTAACCAAGAATGACAAAACTCAAAATGCATGCTATTTTGCTGAACCAGACTGACTTGAAGATTTCTTTTAGAGCAAATCAGCAAAAAGAAGCCATTGGGACAACAGTGATTTGTGGTGTCTGAGAACAGAGTCTCCCACGCTGGATGTGAAGTCTGAAGAGAATCTCTGAAGGCTTTGCATCACGCTGCCTTCATGTTTTTGTATTTTAACTGGGATGAGCATTAGGAAGAAAATACTTCTGGCAAACAGAAGGGAATGACCAAGCATCTGTTGTGTCCTGAATGAGCAAAGAAATGAAGTTCACTTTCATCTTTAAGCAGAGTAACTTGTTGATGCCCATAACTCCTCCACTGAAGCCGGACCTTCCTAGCACACAGCTAAGGCAGATCTATTCAATCTACATCTAATTCCATGTGGAGATGAAAAAAAGAGTTCTTAAAAGAATTTTAAAATATATTTTCTTCTGAGAACTAGGCACAAAGTTTTTTACTGAACTACAAAAGACCAGGTGCTGAATTGAATATGGAGTCCCTTTTCCCTTTAAAGGCCGCTGGATTAGCCCTTCATCACTGCAAACTTTTGGTTGAAATTCATCAGTAAGGCAAAGCAGGCAGGTCTGATGCCAATGTGTAGCAGCCTTCCATTTGTCACTGGGTCCAGAAATAAATAAAGCCAATGGCAAATCTTTAATTTAAGAAGGAAAAAAAAAAAAAGCATCAATGCATTGGGTTTTCTCTAGAAGCATTCAAATGTTAGGAATGATTTAGAAGTGGAAATGTGAGGGGAAGGAAAGGAATCAGCTTTCAAAGCAGTTTTATGTAAGTAACAGCTGGGCATAACTGTGGAATCTGAGATGTGAATTCCAGCAAGAATAAGAGTTGAAACATAACAAATGAATTCTCAAAGATGAAAAGTCAACTCAGTTTAACATACATGCACAGATTTCAATATAGGATTCTTAAAACCAAAGGAACGTATCACATGAATATGAAATGGTCTCTTCTTTGTGATTGTAACCATTATTTGTTAAATTAGAAGTAGTGACACTTGGACATTTTCTCACTGAAATGTTTTCCATTGGAAAACTGATCCATAGAAACCTACATTTTTCATGGGAACAAACAGATCTGCCTTGGCAGGAAAGGTTTCCCCTGCTACACATGGAATTACAGACCAGAATGGTCCAAAGCTCAGTGTCATGGTGCCCAGGAAAAGCCAGCCTGTTCTCTGCATGATCCAAAGAAACCAGGCTTAAATCTCAGTGTGCCTGAGCCTAAGTGGGACTTCTGACCACTACAGTGCTGGACACTATGTCTGTGCTCCACTTAGCATGAATAGCTAAGTATCTACTGAAGCAGGGAATTGAATGTGGGGCTTCTACATTGCCAATGAACTCACTGGCCATCAGAATATAGTTTCTATCTCATTCTCTCTTGTTGCAGCTGCTGTTTTGTGATAATTAGACATTCAGGGAGACAGTGTGAATGTGCATGGTATTTTGATATTTATTGTATCGGGAAGCTTTACACTAACGCTCATTTATCACAGCAACGTCTTGAGAAAATATCTGAAGGCAGTGAAGTATTATCTCCCTCCTGACAGATGAGTTAGTAACTACTGTCACATAAAACATTCATTCTCAGCATGAGCTTAGGCGAGACAGTTGTAGACCCAGACTTGACGTACTCAAAGGAGACACAGCCAGACACAGAACCCTGTCCCATCCCGCAACCACGCTGCCTTTTCATCTTACATTGACAGCGTTGATCGCAATAGGATGATGTTACGTGTAGATATATGTAGATATGACGGCACATAAAACCCAGAGCACAGAAAAACTCAAAGCATATAAAGCCTTGACTAGTCAAACATAGGTAGTAGAAGACAAGCAATAAGAAAAAATGCTTATGAACCGGCAAACTCTCTTGTATATTTTCCTAATTACTACAGGGAAATTGAATGCCATTACTCTGACGAATCAATCTGCCTTTTCCTTAACATGCAGTTAAATAATTTCTTGCCACCGAAACAAGTATGACTGAGTGATAGCTTGTAGCACTTAATAACACTAGAAGAATAAGCTTCTTCAGAGTGATACAGGATACCACTCTGTGTGTAAAAATGTAAAATTATCAGCCAAATAATCCCGTGGCTTTACTATACTGTATGCCCATTGTAAGCATCTCTACTTCTGCTGAGGAAAAATAGATGGCAATGTTATTGAAAAATAAATTATTTTTATGTACTCATTTTGCAGTGCATTGTGTTAGCTGAAGTACAAAAAATAGTATGAACCTGTGTTCCATGTTCTGCTCTGGTAGGCAGCCACTTTCCCAATATTTTACAAATGTGTAAGGCAAAATAGATTTTTTTTTTCCCCTTTAACCAGCAAGATTCTGCTTGAGTATACTTGTCATAAACATTACCAAATACAGTTTGGCTATTTTTACAGGCTTCGTTTAAAATAATAATAGAAAATGAAATGAAAAAAAAGATCTTGCTTGAAGATCACTGAAGTACTACAAGGGAATTGCTGTTTCTACAGGTTGCCAGATTCAGATTCCTGTCCTTAAGAATGTCTTCAGGTAGGTGCTACCCCAAAAATATGAAGTATATTCCCAGCATCCAAGATATTAATGCTAAGGAGCAGCTCCAGGTGTAAGGCAGAGCATATCCCATTTGAACCACTTTCCTCTTGCCAGTGAAACACAAGGAAGTAACTGCCTGTTGAATATGAATGTCCTCTGAGTTGACTTAAATCTTCAGAGGATTCATTCTGGACCTTTTTTTTCTGATTTCTTCAGAAATCTGTGATAATGTATTGTGCAGGAAGAAAATGCAGAACTTATATTTAAAGTGAAGTTGTATCACATGCTGCATTATCCACTAGGCCAGGTATTTTGTTAAAATGTTGAGTAAGTGGTTTTTTGCATGGAGCACTGACGTACTTTGTGATAAGCTGCAGAAGATAAAATTTTGACCAAAAGGCAGCAAACCAGCCAACTCCATTGACTTGCCTGAAGCAATATTTATATTAAGTGCGGAGATATATTTTATAACTATACACTGAGTGTCACTAAAGACTTTAAAAAATATAATCACTGACAATACAATAGTGGGAATGGGAAGATCCTACAAGGAAATACAAATGCTTACCTCTTGATAGCACATTGCTGTAAAAGCAACTGTGTACTCTGCCAAGGTCGTGTCATTCACCAAGTTTTTCACCTCTTCATCAAATGCAGAGTTAATAATTCCTCGCCTGTGCAATTCGCTAAGCATCCTGGTAATGAAGCTGTTCCGTTCCTGGCACTTTCGGGTGAGGCAAGCCAGTTTAGCCTATGCAGCACGAACACATATACATTGATTTCACTCCCTGTTGAGACTGCAAGATTATATTTTGTATCTTATTTCCAATTTCACACATTTTTACCCAAAGCTATAGATTACACTCTTATGTTTCTAGGTCATTAGGTGCCTCTGCACTCTGCAAGAGCAATATGTATGCACAGGTAACCTGGAAAGAGAGGTTCCTTTTCCATGCACGAGGTCAGCCTTTTGACAGGCTGAAGAGTACCCATAGCAATAACGTCAGCAAGCCCTTGCCTAAAGCCCAGTAGCCAACAGCTAAGTCAGGGACAGGTGCAGAAGGCAGAAGCCTGTACAAGGCACAGAAGCCTGTAAGCAACGGGATACACCTCCATGCAGGTCCTGCATTGGCTTTCAGGAAAATACAGTACCTTCAAAGGAGCTAGCATCAACTTCGCTTCGGACTTCCTCTTCTGAAGTTCTTTTTCCTGAAAGGTTGAAAAACATTCTGCATGAATTTATTCAAGGGTCATTTTCAAATACTGTAGCAGGTTTTTTCTATTTGTTTTAGACCTGACTTCCAAGGTGTACACTTTCTTATTTGTGTGATTTTATTCAAGGGTCATTTTCAAATACTGTAGCAGTTTTTTTCTATTTGTTTTAGACCTGACTTCCACTTTCTTATTTGTGTGACCCTGTATCACAAACAACATGAAGCAGTGTAAGAAGTTGGTGGTACACAGATCGGCCCTGACACACAAACACTGCCCTACCAGCATTGATGTTGGTCTTACTTATTCCAAATGCTTTTGGATGTTTTCAGATGGAGCCCTATATCAATGAGGTTATTTTATCAAAGCAGCATCACATTAAAGACTTGGTATCCTTCATTATGCAGTCATACTCCCATTTGCTCTGTGAATCTTCCAAAATATTCTTTTAAGGAAAAGTTTTCCCTTTTCTTATCTATATTACGTTGTAAGAATGCAAGAAACAACGAGGGATTTTCTGAATGTGTATTCCACGGCAGGCTCTGAAAAGTGAACATGAACAACTTTCTACCCTGACACCATCGATGCATGCCCTCTATCAGGAGGTGAGCCAGATTACCTAGTCTGTACCTTATGATTAAAACTTTTATTATTCATGGGAAACTTGCTTTCTGATTATGCAGAAAAAATGCAGCATCCTGACAGGTAAAATCCATTTCTATTACAAATCATTGCAGTATTATTTGGCAATAAAGTACAGATTCCTTTGCATTTATTTTGCTTGACAATTTGTATTTCTGTAAAGCCTACAGTAAATGTATTACGTGCATGAAAAAAAAAGTCTCCCTTTATGAGAATTCAGTAATGCTGAAAGAGGTCACATGGTCCTCAGCTAATAAATTGTGGGCTTGGGCAGGAACATAGCAGATAGGACAGGAGAGACATGTCTTTACATTGCACCAGCACTGAGGGAACAAAGAAGAAGCTGGCAATAGGTCCCTGAACTGGTGACATTCAACTCTTGATGAGCGGAGCAAAACAATTTGCAAACAGAACAGAACAATTAAGAGTCGCCCATTTATATGGATAGCGCATCCCCCCCTGTACTCACCTACCATCTGATAAGCATCATCCATCACTACAGACACCAGACACTACAAACAATTTCATTTTACCATGACTATTCTGCTAAGAGACATCTAATCAATGCCTGAGAGAAGCCACTAACCCTCTGTACAGGACTGGTTTAAGCCAAATCACAGCACATGACAAAGCTAGGGAAAAAAAAAAAAAACAAACAAACAAAACCAACAACAAACAAATGAATAACACCCCCCCACCCCCACCCCCCAAACTGTAGAACAGGTGGATTTACCATGGAGAAAGTAGGATGAAACTTGCACCAGTAGGGAGAAGAAAATAATCTCTTGAATTTCAGAGGAAAGACAGAGGAGAAGCATGTTCTACACACTGTATCACAGTATGAAGAATATAATTGAGAAAATGCCATTTACCAGCTGTGTCAGAGTATGATGGGCAATTCCAATTTGGCTCACCTTGTAACTATCATTCTTTTTGAAAAATAGTTTCCAAAGAAATAGGAAACAAAATTTAAGGGAAAAAAGTCCTAGCAGGAATTTGTTTTCGCCTGAGTTTAGCAGTTCTAGTCACATGGACAGCCGTAGCTTTGCTGCCATGCTACAAGGTGGTCGTTCTGCAGATGTTAATGCCTGTACCTGCCCTGGTTTGCCAGGTGAAATACAATGCACAAGTGTAAAACTGCTCATGTAACTGTACTTGGGTATACATGGGGGCTCTCACCAGAATAACTATGTCAGTTAATAAAAATACAAACCACACACCCAACTGAAAATGTGTTAATGAAACTCTTAATATGTAACCCTAGCAGCTGGATCAAAAAAGTTAGAAAAAATTTTTTTACCAAATTTTTATCACTAGCTCTCTGTGTTTCCTAATCTGATATAGTGCAACAAGAGAGTTGGGAATGTTAAAAATCCTGGCAATTTAAGCCAAGGAGGTGGCTCTGTAAAGAATTTCAGCACCATTTTGCTTGCATTAGGCTATGAGGATCATAGCAGAGACTGGCGGCAACTTTTGCTATACTCTGTCATGCTTCCATGACATTGACCAGCCAGTTTACATCATTTCCTTATTTCTCTAAAGTCAGGGTTACTTTTATATACCTGCAAACCATTTAATTCCAGGATCATTTAGGTTGGAAAAGACCTTTAAGATCATCAGGTGCAACCATTATCCTCAGACTCGTACCCTGGAAAGAAGACTATTTTAGTTCTTTCCTTTGAGAAGAAAGAGGTAGAATCTGAAGGCTAAACTCAGATTTGTCCACCCACTTAAACACACAGAAAACAGCTTTATCATACCTTTTCACAGAGCTGAGCCTGAAGGAGTTCCGCTTCATTCTGCAAGTCATGAAACTGATTTTGTAATGCAGCCTGGTCCCTGAGCTGGGCTTTCAAGGTCAGCACTTGCTGCTGTAACCTCTTACAGGCTATTTTATTCTCCTCTATTTCCTGGCCATCTTTTACAGTGTACACAGGCTAGGGAGCAAATACACAGATTTTCAAATTAGATGTCTAAAATAATGAAAATATTCTCAATCATGTTTTAGAGCACAAAACTTCTAGATCAATGTACCTACCTTGTATGTCAAAAAAAAAAGCTGATATAAAACATATGAGTTCAAATGTTCACAAACATATAGCACTAATATCCTGCATAAATCTTAAAATTGTTTATGAGCAAGGAGTTCTTCATCCCCTGTGATAACAGGTGCAGGACTGGGATTTCACAATGCTCCTTCAAGGTAAGTATTGTGTTATAATCATTTCAAATCTGGGGAAACTGGGGCACAGAAGCTTAAGTGACCAACCTATAGTCATGCAGTGAGTCGGAATAGAACTTAAAAGTCCCCAGTCTCCTCCTCCAACTGCTATATAATGCGTCCCTTCTTCTTCCACATATATTTATCTCAGAGAGCAAATTCCACTCTCCCAGTTATACTTTTGTTTTGGAATATTATTAATAAAACTAATCAGATTTTAAGTACAAATTTCAAAAATATTTAAAAAGAAAATATTTATTACATGAAAATGCAGTAATAGTGGTACAGAACAAGTGGCAGGAGGACCTTCTGAATTTAACACCTCCTCCCCCACTCCCCAATTTTGTTTTCAATTTCATGCACTTAGATTGAAAGGATTAATGAGAGCTTTAGATTGACGGTCAGCATTGTAAGGTCAGCTACTAGAAGTGATATTATCAGATTAAGCACACAGTCTCAGAATAAGGGAAATCTGAGGGTGAAGGAAGTCTTGTGAAAAACCTTTATGCTGTTGTGAACCTATATCAAAAAATATTGAGTTGATACACACAGCTGCTCAAGATTTCTGATAACATAAGCAAGTCTAAAAAGATTAAAAATTTCAGTGATTAAGCTAAAAAATCTAGTCACACCTATGATACACTGCGGTAAAACTATATAACCTTCTGACAAACCATGCAGGAAGATGGTTTGATTTTAAAGGTTATTATCATTGATACAGCCAAAAGAAGAGCTAATAGTCGGCTGTGATTCACAGCAACACAATTTAATTACCCCTCACTTTCTGACAGCCTTTCCAACTTTGACACCCTTGGTGACTACAGCCTACTAAAGGCACCATTTCATAGAAAACAGCAAACTGAACCAATAGATCATGTTACTCTGGCTGCAACACATCACTGCAACACACATAAAACCAGAAATATGACATTTTCATACTGCTCTTCCTAATGAAGCAAATTCTCTATGCACAGCATTCAAGCAAGCTGTGCATGCTTTGTACCAAACTTTTTGGCTCCCTCTTGCGTTAAGAGAAAAGAACAATAGCGACTCTTGGACACGTCAGGATTGATTAGACCAGGGTTGCAGTGATAAAAGCCTGAGGATGACTCTGAGATGTGGTATTTTCCTCATCTTCTTTCCCCCCACAAAAACTGTGTTAAATAAAAAATGGAAACACTCCCTGACTGAAGATGCTTACTGGAAAAAGAGGTGGGGAAATAAAAAAATTGCTTGAAGGTTAGAGGCAGAGAGAAGTTCTTTCTGTCCTTTTGCATTTTGCTGACCTGCTAGCAGTTTTCTTTAGTTTGAAAGCACAAATGAGGCATACGAGGTTTATTTAGGATCACTCTGTCAGATGTCTCAGATAACAGTAACCATGGGTTGTGTAGTCAAGCTCCAGAAGGATGAAGGACCCAGCAGCTGGGACTGGGAAATAACCAAAGCATGGCATTTAACACACTGCGTTCTTATAAAACCTGGCAAGATCTCTAGTCTTTGGAGCCTAAACATTAAAAATAAAAATAAATTCTTCCTCTTCTTGTGTGCACTGTGCTTGTCTGAAAATTCAATGAGAAAATGAGAAGGAATATGACTTTTTTGGCTACAGGCCATGATGGGAGTCAGTGGTTCACCAGGGAAGCCTGGCACCTTATTTACTGTGTGCATTTCATCCAAAATTCTTGTATTCATTTTCAAAGCTGTAAATAGTACCCTGCTCCCTTCCTGCTCACCAACATATTTCTCCTAACTCCTGCTGCAGCATTACAGTTCAGAATGCCACCTCAAGATCCTAGAAAATTTCCCCAAATACTCTTATGCTAAATGGTGTTTCCCCTGATAGCAACACCACTGAAACATAGAGTCCTAGCAGCAATCTTGGAGTAAATCATCTTAGCTCTCTTTTATTTGCAGTGTATAATATCATGACAGCCTTTTGGAGTCTCAGCTGAGAACTAGGATCCCTTGGCATCAGAGGCTGTAGAACGTATGCACAAAGTCCTAAAAGACATGCTCAAAACATATCATATCTCAAAGACCTCCCAACCTCTAGGCTTCTAGGTCCAGAGTGCTCACGCCTTCACTTCTTTCAAGCATCACAGACAGAGGTCTTCCAGAAAATTAAGTTTAGAACAGGAAAAAGCATAAATTATTGCGATTTACTGTACCATACTGTATTAATAACTTTGCAGGATGAAAACCACTTTTGGACAAGGGTGGCAACTATCTGAAAATAAGAACAGGATCATCAGTCTACAAAACTGCCTTCAGGAAGAAAAATGATGATAGAAAAACACGGTAATCATGATAATCATTGTGCCAAAAAGTCTTATTTTTTTTTAATCTAGAAAAAATTAGGTCATATTTTAACAATTTCACACAAACCCACTATTGACAGCTTCATTTACATTAGAAAGTTTATTTTAAAAGAGAATTATTGAAACAAAGTCACAACCTTTGTTAAAATACATCTACTGTATTTTCTGCCAATAAAATCAACATCCTTTGGTTAAGACATAATGGACTTAAGTCACACAGATAATTAGTTGCACCACCAAATTGTGTAACTGAAGGATAAACCCAGTTCTGTGATGTACACGTACTGCATCTTTGACCCTGGAATGAGACACATGTGTATTCAAGAATTTGACATTAACCCTACAACAAGTAATTACATTGGATGAAGAAGTCAGATCCAAATGAAACAACACTGCAATATTGCATAAATGTATAATAATATACACTAACATGAAACGTTAACATGATTAATAAGCAGTAACATGAAAAGTTTAGTTACTGGAGGGATGTGAAAGTGGGTTTTTTTTTCAGAAGAAAGGCTGACCTGCACTTTTTCTAGTGTACAAATATTCTGTCAAAGCTGACAAATTTTATTCCCATGTGAGTCATAGAAATAATAAACATCTTAATTCAGTCACCAGTAAAATAAGCAATAATTGCCCCAGACTGTCCCCAAACAAACGGGTTAAAGCTTCATTCCCAAAAATATCCCAAAAGCTTAAGTGTTAGCTTAAACAAAACACAATGATACACTTCTGTTTATTTTGGGAGTTTCTGCTTCTTACTTGAAATGCATTTCATTGTTTTAAGATGTTACATCCCCAATACATTACAATGATATGAAAAATCCGTGCTTCATTTTCAATTAACGGTCAGAATTCAGTTGTCTAAACATCAGCACATAGTGCCATGTAGGGTGTACATATGAAGTAACTGCATAGGACTCGCAAGTGGCCAACTACACCCTCAGCCAGGATGCCCTAAGGCACTTAAATGGGATAAAGAGTGACATTTAGGCAACTGAACTGAGCCCAGATTCTTTACATCTTCCAGAATATGTTTTTATTTTCTTCCAAAGCCATATCTATCTAACTTGTTCAAACTAAATTTGAAAATATTGTAGGTTGCCACAAAAATGCTTTTCCAGCTGATAAAAGTTGCATGTTTCTTCTTCACAGTTTCCCTATCAACGAGGACAGAAATAATTTCAAGGCTGGCTGAAAAGTCTTTATGAAAGCTGCTTCCAGGAGATAATTCAATAATTTAAAATCTTTCCACAAAACACTTCTTTTTGGTGGAAGATGTAAAAACTTTATCAAGACACAGAGCTACCTGAAAATTCAAAAAAGTTTCATTTACAGCAAACCCAGAATTTCTGTGATATAGATACATTCCAATGAGACTTTCTCTCCCCCATGTGATAGAAAGATTTCCCGGATTTTAGGGACACACACTTGAGCTCCACGCATCAATTACAGACATTGATCCACATCACCTGCTCACTTGCAATGTAAGTTTCTCCATAAAATGTCCAGCATCATGTCATTTTGTCTATGCAAATCTAGTACTCGGGGCTACAAGGCACAAAGGCCAAATACTGGAAATACTGGAGACTTCTCCAACTGCAGAGCAGGAGAGGCAGAGGGGACTGAAGGGAAATGCCTTTCATTAAGGTCACCTGAAAATCCAGGCCGCAGAAAATTACCCTGGCTAGAGAGAGCAGGATGAAAGAGCAGGACAAGAGTCCTCCTAAAAAACTGAGGTGTCTATAATGCAGATGTAGAGCCCAGACTTTGGAGTATCCTGTAGACAGATGGCCTACCTTGCATAATACTTGCTCACTTTCAAGTTTATAGCTCCAGTGGCTCTAGGTGCCCTATACTTGCTTCAAATCTATTACCAATAACAATAATGGGTGTCTCTACATGCAAAATATTCCCCTCAAAGGAAAATGCTTTTCTCCATTCTATTTACATACATACCGTTAATTTGCAGTGCTGCTTTCCAAGCATTTTGTCCCCAACCTCTTGTTTAAGATGGTGTAATTCTGAGAGAGTTTGTGTCAAATGAGTTTTGATTTCTTCGTATCTTGTTTCAGCAAAGCCAAGTTCTATGTACCATTTCTGAGCCTAACAGGAAGAATAAAAATGCAAAATTACTGAGTATAATTAGTCTACCAGTGGTAGCATTTCTCAATACGAGCTTACAACCATGGACTTGAGTCTGATCTCCACATCACAAGTCTTAAATTGTTGTAAATTGATTAAAATAAATGGAATTACACAATACACTATAATCTTCTTATAAGAAATGAGTAAGACTTTAAAGTAAGTCCTGTAGAAACATCCGTAACTAGAGCTATGCAGAAAAATAGATTAATTTTTAAACTGCTTTCTAAATTTGATGGTATCTTGAATGAATGTTGTGAATGCAGTCACAATTTCAGAATTTTCTTTGAAAGCTCTCAGAGCAAATGGAAAGTAAGATTTTATCAGCTATGGGAAAAAATCTTCCTGACAAATATAAAAAATGAAAAATGCAAAGGTGGGAAAAAAAACCTCCCCACCTTTGTATTTCTTCTAGGATGCATTTTCTCCACTTACACACATCAACTGTAGGTTTGTTTTTTTTTTTTAAAAAAAAAAAAGAAAACCACAAAAAACCACTCAGTAGATCAGCTTGTTGCCCAACAGCAAGCTCCTTCCCTCATCTGAGAAATCACTGCTTCTCCCTTCTGAAAGCAAAGGCTTCACATTCTTTTAAGTAAACTGGGGAAGGTGTTGTAAGACACAGCTTCCTTGTAACACATAAAAGGTTAAAAGTATCTAAGCTAATAATAAAAATAAATAAAAATCAAATGATCTCTTCATATTCCAATTACAAGGTCAGAAGTCCTCACCTAACCATCCAACACGCATCCAAATCTATTCCTTCATTCCAGTGGCCTCACCTGAAATCTGGGAAGCCTTGTAAAGCAGCTGTCAAAGGACAACCATTTTGTACACCCACCATGTGCAATCCTACTGCTCTTTTACATGCTCGACACACTTCTTCCTGCCAGTGGTTTTTCCACAGGGAGTCTGAGCAATGCCTGTTATTGCATGAAACAGCCCCATAAATATACGCTTGCCAAAAAAGCAATACTTCTGCTTTGATAAGCATCGAGTGGAGATTCTTCAATAAAAAATAGGAATGTGAAAGCTAACGCATTCAGAAAGGCACAACACTGAAAGCTTCCTTGGCTGGTATTAAAATCTGGCTGCAGATTTCCTTCATGCAGGCACAGAACTAGCCACCCAAACAAGTTTCCACGTAAGTGGTGTTGGACTTTTTGTGTTTACAATATAGATGTCAAGAGGAGGGGCAGTCTGTGTGCTTTGCACCATCACTGGGCATAGCAAGACCCCTCGACAGTATCAGATTTTATATTATTTTGCCTCTCATTCAAAAACTGCTTTCAATGCAGGTTTGCCATAGTCCTCTGTGCTTCTACTGCATTCTACTCCTCCTCACTCGTAGTGAGGGGGAGGGAAGCAGCTGGCCCAGGGATGGCCACAGCAGGTAGTTCGTTCTGGGTGTCTTTATTAAGCACTCAGCTTCTGTCAAAGCATGCTGGGGGAATGCAGCTTCACTTGAAGTTCTGGCCAACCACGAATGGCTGTGCAACTCGTCACCTGAAAGATCAAAGAGGGACATTTTGCTTCTGCAGATCAGATACTTCCCTGTTTTGTGTTAAATCCTGGCAGAAAGAAGAACAGCCAGGTAAGAAAACAAGCAAGAAAACAAATTTGCTCCTCAGAATTACATCAGAGTAGGTGGTTACCTCTTTTCTTGATTTTTGTAATTCCTTTTGCTGTATTTTTAGTTCTTCTTTCGCCTTTTTGACTTGCTCTTTCATCACACTGTAGCTTTCAAAGATGCTGCCCTGGGTACACAACAGAAATACATGACTCCTCTCATGCATACAAAAAGGTACACACATTTTTTTACAGAACAATACATGGTTTCCTTCTATCTGAATTACTAAAAACATTTGCATAAAATCAAGATAGTAGCAATAAATCTTTCCCTGATGATTATTCTCAACTGAAGTAATAATTCTGCTTTTACAAGAACATAATAATCTCCATAGAAATTCACTGGTGTAAGATTTGTGACTACAGAGGACAAACATGGACGAGAAATCCACTATAAGTAAAGATTCTGTCTTTAGGCATATGTTTCATAAAAATCAAAACAGGAAAAAAATAAACTCTATCAGAATAAAAGTTAATAAGTTAACATGTCCATACTTTTCAGTAAGACATGTTTCACGGCCCTGAATACTTCACCATTGTAACAGAAGTTTGTGGAAATTAATTTGCTCTACCAGAAGCTTTTACTCTTGCAAGAAGATAAATGATTTTAAAAATGCCTGAACAATGCACTCCTTCTAATAGTATTTTTAAATTTGTAGCTTGCTGTATCTCGCACTGGTGAGGCCACACCTTGAATATTGTGTTCAGTTTTGGGACCCTCACCACAAGAAAGATGTTGCATTGCTGGAACATGTCCAGAGGAGAGCAACCAAGCTGATGAGGGGTCTGGAGCACAAGTCTGGTGAGGAGCAGCTGAGGGAATTGGGGTTGTTTAGTCTGGAGAAGAGAAGGCTGAGGGGAGGCCTTATTGCCCTCTACAACTACCTGAAAGGAGGCTGTAGCGAGGTGGGGGTCGGCCTCTTCTCCCTGGTAATGGGTGACAGGACGAGGGGAAATGGTCTGAAGTTGAGCCAGGGTGTGTTTAGAGTGGACATTAGGAAAAATTTTTTCAATGAAAGGGTTGTCAGGCTCTGGAATGGGCTGCCGAGGGAAGTGGTTGAGTCCCCATCCCTACAGGTATTTAAAAGACGGGTAGACAAGGTGCTTAGGGACATGGTTTCGTGGTGGGACGGCAGGGTTAGGTTAACGGTTGGACTTGATGATCTTCAAGGTCTTTTCCAACCTAAACAATTCTATGATTCTATGATCACTTTAAAATTCTCTAACACAACATTCAGAAAAAACTCTCTGGTACTTTGCCTTCTGTTTCAAAGTTAACTTTAGCACCTCAGATCTCCAGCACATGGTCGTTACAACATTTTCTATATTACAAAGCTCATTTAGCTTTGTCATCCAAATGACATTTATGTCTCCCCCTTTCTTTAGAAGATCCTGCTTGGTAACATTCCTCATTGTTATTATTTACCTCTTTTCCAGGGAAATAGTTTGAGGGGTCTATAACCAGAACTCCTTCTTCTTCAGTCTGAGTTACACTACATGCTGTTTCAACTTTCTTTGGCTTAAGACTATGTTGTTGACTTTCTTCTTTTAGTTTTACTATCTTTCCCCTTGCTCCCGAACTTTTATCTTTTCTCAGGTCTTCATAGGTAAAACCCAAAGAAGACAGAAATTCTTTCAATTTTCTGTTTTCTAAAATAAAGTTTGCATTGGCTTTCTGAAATTCATCAAGCTGTTCTGAAGTTTCTTTCTTGATCCTGTCCATCTCTCTTTTCAGCACACATTTTTCCTCCTGTAAATCAGAAATAGTTTGATAACAGCTGGTTTTGCACTCTTGAAGTTCTGAAACCACGGTACTGTATTTGTCTTGTTCACGCTTTACCTCTGCCAAACTTCCCAATAAAGTTTCTTTTTCACCTTCTAAAAGAGATATTCTGTGTAAATTTCCCTCTTTCTCTTGTATTAGTTCATTATATTTTGCTACATAGTTCTCCTTTTCTTGTAATAATTTAGCTATTTCTTTGAAGCATCTGCTTCTTTCTTCTTTCAGGTCAGAAAGCAGCTGAAAATATCTCGTTTTCCTTCCATCCAGGGATAAAACACTCCTGGGAAGTTTTTTTGATGCAATTGTCAATGAGTCATTTTCAGAATTCTTATTTTTCTCTGCAACACATGAAAGGTTCTTAGAGAAGATTTCAACAAAAAATGCTCCTGGGCTCATGATGTTTTCTTCTGGTAAGTCATTAAAACATCCACCAGCAACTTCTTTCTCATTAAGTAAGTTTTGGAATGAAACAATGTTAACTTCATCTACTGCTAAAATGTATTGAAAATATGCATCCATCTCCTCTTCCAGTGCACACATCATCTGAGCATATCTCTCATTCTCCTGTTGTAATATACTGACTTTTTTTGAGTAATTTTCATTCTCTTGCATCAGTAGAAATATCCTCTGAGAACACACAGTCACCGCTTTTTCCAGTGCATGTATTTTCACATTATGTTCACTACCAGCTTCCAGTGGTGACAGATGACAAAAACACTCATAAAAATTGCTCCCTGGCAGGAACAGTTTGTTTAAGCACAAAGCCCTCTCCTGCACAGGAGACGATGTGTTTAGTGGATACCTCTCTTCCTCTGACAAAAAAAAATTCTGAGATGCATATTGCATGTTTTCAGCAGCTATTTTTTGACATGAGAAGTTCTTCTCGTTTGGCTCACAGAGTTTCAGGGTCTGGTCTTTCTTTTTTTTCAGGCCAATATTGCTGGAAGGGTTTGCTTGGTGGGGTGGTTTCTGAGGTTGCTCTCCTATCGCCTCCATTTTGATCATGTTTTCTCCATTATATACCCTATTCACATCAGAGGTGCAGATTTCTAAGGGGTTTCTTTGTTTCTGCATTGGTTGAGGGTTCCCTTCAAAATGCTTCTTTAAGTCTTTAAAATCAACAGATAAATTTTGGACACTCTGTGGGCTACCCAGTCTGTCTTTGGTTTCCATTCCTTGCTTCCCAGGCCTGATCAATTCAGTTTTATTTAAAATCTCAGAACTTTCCTCAGGAACACAGGTCACCTGCTGTGGTTGGGCTTTCTCATGCTGTATTTCTTCTCCTTTAGCTCTCCCTCTAAAGATTTGATGATACTTTCCATCATCAACAACTTTATCCAGGCATTCATTTTCACCTAGGCTTTTTGGCAGAATTTTCTTGTTTTCCCAATGTTTTTCCATGCTGTATTTTTCTAGAGATGATGTGAAAATTTCAGTTACAGTGCAAGGTATTTTTCCACAAAGAAGTGCAGAAGCTTTGTCAGAAAATCTTCCTTCTGCAACAAGGCAGAGGACATCAAAGCAAAGAGTGGTATTTGCCTCACAGAAATCCAAACTCCTCACTTTCTTTACAGAGGTGACAGCTGATATGTGGTAGCTTTCAGGTTCTAACAAGGTAAATTTGGGCTTCTTCCTCATCAAAACTTCAATCACAGAAACAGGGAACATCTTTGCTGGTAGATTTATAGCTTGTTCCTTCAAGAGAGAAAAGTTTTCTTCATCTTTGGTTTCCTTACTTGTCTCATCATTAGTTAAATTCTCAGAGCAAGAAGGAAGCAGTCTTGCTCCACAATAACTTGGGGTACATCTGAACAAAGTGAAACTGTCTTCTAGAGTACCTGCCCTCTTCATTCCAAAGGTGACCTGGTAAAAGCAGAAGAGATATGTTTCAAACTGAAAAATATAAGCTAAGATATGTTGTTCCCTGTTGCTAACCGTAATGTATTTTTCACTTCATCCATAAAATACTTGATTACAGACAGATGAGAAAAAATATTTCCATACAAAGAGTTTGTAAATTATTTAAAATTTGCAACAAAAGTAAATAATTTTCTTAGTGCACACATGTATTCATCTTGAATAATATCTTCAGTAGATATAACTTAAAGCTACTTTTATATTCATCTTTAGATACACCAACTTTTCATTTTATCACAAAATTCACAGACTCAATGTGCTCAAAGACAGCAAAAATAGTGGTAACTTTTCTTCTCACCTGCTCAATCTCAGCTAGACCTGCAACTTCTGCATAGGCATTGGAATTGTGTTGCAAAACTGGTAGAAGTTCTTCTGGTAGCTCCTCCATCTGCTTTAGCCCATCACAGCTATAGCCTGGTGTTTCTGTTATGGTAAAGCACTGGACAAGTGTAATGCCAGTCCCAAACAGTTGCATGAAAAACAAACCCAAAACCATCTGACCAGATGTTTTGGACAGAAAAGTATTTTAGTGAGAGTATGCTCAAAAGGTCCTTCTCTACCAGAAGCACACATCGCCAATGATGCAGAGATAAGAAGGACATCAAACAAGAAAGCAAACTTCATAAGAAAACATAAATATTAAGCTTTAAAATAAGGTATATCTGGGGTCCTCCCCAGTTCTCAAAGCCTTTAAAAATGGAAAACACATCTCATTATGGTGTGTAGATGAAAATTTATGGGTTAAAATTATGGGATAAAATTATTCAGTGCAGGTCTACCTTTTCATATACTGAAATTTGCTATAAAATTTCCATTAACTTACGTTGGAAGAATTTATCTGATAAAATTTGGCAAGATCAGAGCTTTCACGTTGTATGACCTAAAAAGCAAACCTGACTGCTGCACAGCATTCTCAAACACTATACTTCAGCCAGGACATGGGAAGTATCCCCTAATTCTTCACCTCTGTAGCTTCTTGAAAGTTTTGGGATTTCTTGAGAAAGCTCCTATCTAAATGCTAGTCTCACACTGGCAAACAGTTACTGCTTCACTTTCCCAAGATACAGTTTACAGATTAGAAGGTTTTCAGAAGGTCTTACACCTTCCAAGGCATGCACACCACATGAATGAAATCATCTTTATTTTATTGCACAGATATGAAAGCAATAATTACAGTTTGTTTTCATACCAGACTCTTTAGCATGTAGCAGCACAACCGGAGTTTGAGTAGCTTTGCTTCTGAGTGAATCCACAACTGCTCCCCATTTCCAATTTTGAATGTCATCCTGGATTAGTTCTGCATTCTTAATGGGAAAAGGAGGAGGAAAAGCAGAAAACAGGCCATAAACATACAGTATTTGTGCTATGAAAAACAGGCACATAAATTTCCTTTGCTATTTTACATTCAAAAGACCCACTATTTCCTTATAATTGCTAGTATTTCGTACAGTTTTCTCATTCCAACATTTTCTAGTAAATGTCATTGTTTTAAACTTCCCTCTAATGTGTTCTTCATACTTTGCAAAGAGTTAAGGAAGAAAATCTGAGTAATAAGCATGCAGTATGTCAGATCACAGGTGGAACACTATCAGAACAGAGACTAAACTATATGCTTATGAACAAAGAGAAAAGAAAGTCCAATCAAGTAGGGACTGAGACTAATAGTTCAGTGCCCAGCTACAATGATAACTGTTCCTAGGTTGGAGGAACTCAAAGTAGAATAATTGCCCTAAATAAAATTTTCTTTTCCATTGATAATTTAATTGTAACTTTCACATTCTGTTCTTGACATTTATCTTGACTCTCTGATTGAATTTGGAAATTGTGACAACAATTTCTGGTGCAAAGCAAATACCTTTATTTCTTGATACACAACAGGTCACATTTCGTATGCAACGTGCTCATTTTTAGTGAACAGAAGACTCGGGTCTGATTTTCTCAACAAAACGCGTAATCGAGGTGGTAGCCAAAACAGCTACAGCACAGAAAACAAGCCAACACAGCCACTTTTGTCTTCCCGCACTGCCCTGCATCAAATGCCAGCAGAAAACAAACTTGGTCCCTTTGGGCTGAGCTGCAGCTTTAAAACTACATACAGATGGGAAAGGCAATGACTTCAAAGTCTTCGGTCTATAGTGAGTCAGAAATTGCCACTTGATTTTCCACATGATCACCAGTGAGAATAATTTGGATTTCAACCCAAGTCAGCTGGCACACTATAGTGCTCTGAGATTCTTGACTGGGTGCCATGACTTAAGTGGAAACTACAACACTTCCAAGAGTTCTTCCTTCATTTTCTCAGTAATATTGGAGCTAACGTTAATTCCTTGAAACACACTCATTATTTTCCTGCAAGTTTGCCTTTATTTCTTCCCAGATATCTTTTCTTTATTGATATGTGGGTTCTGTCAAAAGAAAGTTACACAAAATGATGTAAAAGATACAATGCTTGGATACAATGCTCTTTCACTGAAAAATTGTATACAAGCAGCTTTCCCAAAAAGTAACAGCATGAAAATCTTTCTTGTATTGCACACAATTTCTCTTTTTTACAGCTGTTGATGGAGTATGATGAACTCAAATAGGACTTCTCTTTCATGATGAGCTCAAATAGGACTTCTCTTTCAACTATTTTGGCTTGAATACTACACGATCAAGGTAATGAGATTAGGAAATTCTATTTTAATAGGTGCTAGTAAAACAAAAGCCCTCTTCAGTTTTACGGTACAACACCAGAGGTCTCCCTCCTCCTTTTATCATAGATACTGATTTTTTTCCCCTGCTATTTCAAGTCATTTTCTACTAGAAGAATCCAAGTGAATTACTAGCAGTACCAAGAGGAAAAGACAACCAGAAATGCAGAAGGCACAAGATTTGATGCTGCTGATGGATTTAAGGAACGTTAAACACAGCATTTAAGGAACGTAACCGACTGTGCAGCAGACCATAGTAAACTAGCTTAACACAAATGATGACCTGCTCATTTATTCCAAAGACTGGGTAATTGAGACTCAGTAACCTCCTATGACAACACAGATGTAAATTAGTACTTAGAAAAGAAATGGTAAGAAAACCTTGTGTAGAGGAAAAAATAACCTTTTATTAGGGTACAGCATAGAATGAAAGAGATTTGGTCCTGTTTTTTGAAGACTTTTTGGATTAGTCTCAGGCAATTAGTTGATATATCTTGCTTTCACACCTTCAAATAACTCAATGTTTACTTTCTCCTTTTCTCAGTTTTCTCAAACCAATAGTAATTCTCCACTACTTCTTCCCTGGCTCTGAAATCCTCCCTCCTGATTTTAGTTGGGCAGTCCACTCATAGCATACATGGTTGTTGTACCTGTTTACAACTCAGTGCAAGTCCCTCTAGAAATATCTTAATATATTTTCAAACCTTATTCTTCATTCCCAAGAAAAAGTGAACTCACTAGTTAAAGTGACTGTAGCAGTGGTTCAGGTATAAAAATAAGGAACAGCAGTCAGTCCTTCTGCCACTTCGGGGCAGCTATAGAGACAAATGCGGTGAGGCACAGCTTCTGAGCTTCCACAAAGGGCACCCATGTGCTGCCAGTTACTGCAGGATGACCTTACCACTCTTTCTCACACAAAGGCAACCTCCTGGACCTCACTTCTTTGGGACTGTAGAGCCACTAAGGGTACAAAATCACCAGGTCTGCAAAGGTGCATTCAACTACCAGGTTAAAATTTTGCCTTTATTTCTTCTAGCTTTTACGGAGAAAAGATCCTTTCTACCTTCTTCCAGTTCTGAAAGTACTCACAGTCTGACTGTCCTCCTATACTAAAGGATTGGTTTTTTCATGCCCATTACCTCCTGGTTAACTGAAGTTAAAATCAGGAGAGTTCTTGGGATATCAGGTCACAATTTGAATAGAGCAGCTGAGTGTGAGGCTTAGCTGATTTCACTTTATTTAATAAATCCCCAGAATAAAAACACCCTCCACCTAGTGCATAAAGAATAAAACTTTGTTTGAGTCCTCTCTGTGAAAAGAATTTTTCTTTGTCAGCAAAATGAATTGGCAGAAGCTGAATGTCATATTACAGCATATGCAGAGCTTTCCCATGCAATGCTGGAGTGAAGTCCTTAAAGCAAACAAGTCCTATTCAGTGTATTCAGGGCATATCACAATGCTACGGAGCTGCAAACCATTGAATATCTCAACTCACTCCCAGTCATGAATACTGCATCCATCTTCCCTTGTTCACCATTATCCAGAAAAATCTCCTAGACAAGATTTATTGTCAGCTGTGCTTTTTTCTTCAGCATTTGGGCATGAAAAACATGTGAAAACTCACCCAACCATATGTGTACTCCTCCACTGAATAGTGTCCACGAGACAGAGGTCTCAGAAGTTCTTCTGGGCTCTACTTCTAGTGCTAACTGAGACCTTTTGCCTTGGGCACGTCACTTAAAAACTTAAGGAAACAAGATTTGTGAAGTGCCCTCAGTATGCACCTAATAAAAGCACTGATGCGATCAACTACTGATTCCAGTGAGTGTGAATTAGACACTGTGAAGTACTAATGCTTCAACACAAATAAAGGAAAAAAACGCAGGAAGAAAAAAGCCTCACACTCGCATCTTGATTGCACATCTAATGACAAGTGTAATCCAGGGTGACATAAAGATAAAAGCTAATAATATTTTGCCTTATTTTTACTTACCCAGTCAACACTGTTGTCTCTGTTCTCCAATCTTGTAAATCGTGCGTCCTTTTCTTTCTTCTTTTTCAACTTCACCCTACCTTGATCTTTTAAAGCCCTATTTTCATCCAAAAGCTCTTCCATTTCTTCCTGTAGATTGATTTCAGATAATTTCAGTCTATAAACATGATGGCAAGATTCTTCCAATTTTCTTCTGAGAAAGGCTTCAGTGTCCTGAGAGCACTGGAGTTCAGTCATCAGGTCTGCCTGTTCTCTCCTTTTGTCCTCCTCTTTTTCCCTTAAGAACTTCAGATTTTGCTGAAAAGTCTCAAGGTGGCTTTTCATGTCGTGCTCCACATTTTCAATGCAAGTTTTCAGTTCCATTACTTCCACGTCGGGGTGTTTATAGCTCTGAGTCCCACTGAATGCTGATTCCAGCTTCTGCTGGAGATACTGCACCATTCCCTCTTCTAACTCGGATGTCAAAAGAACAATATGGGCACTAAGATCTAGGACTTGCTTTTCCAGCCTGGATACCTCACCCCGAAGGTAACATTCCCTTTCTCTCAGCACTGCTGTCTGTTGTCTCTGATTTTGTTTGTAGTGCTCAAAATACTCTGACTGGCGCTTTAATTCATCTTCTTTTGTCTTCAGCTGCTCCTGAAGCCAATGTAATTTTTCTTTTTGCTTCTTCTCTGACTTTTTTTGGTTTTCAACCTACAATTTCAGTGAGTTGCATGGTTAATGTCTTGATACTAAATCTCCTCTTCCCTTACAATTTTTCTTAATTTTGCAATAAATCTGCCCTTGTTTTCTGAAAACTGAGAAATGACATACATAGCAATTACTTAAAGCCAGTAAAATCCTGTATTTAGAGAAAAACTGACCTACTATTTTGTCATTTCAGCCATTGCTGATGCATCTTAGCAGGAAACAAACAAAACACACACTCACCCATATCTACTACTACATAAAATACATGAAGTTTTTAAACACTCCCTTTTGCATATTTTATAGTACACATTAAATCAAAAGAAACCCTTGGACTGGAATTCATATAACCAGCTCTGAACTACAGAGTAACACATCATTAATTCTGACAGTAGCATAGCACTGAGATGTTACAGCCAGAGAAGCTGTGGTTTCATTACAGCAAACATAAAATGCACTTTTCAGAGCCCAAGTTTTGCCCTTTGCCCTTCGCCATACCTGTCATCTGTCAGCTCTTTTTATGATCCCCGTGGAAAAGGAGGAAGGAACAGATGCCTTTTGAATCAGTTTGAGAAAGACTTTGGTATTTTCATTTGCACCAAAGCGTGTTTGAACACAGAGACATACAGAGGTGAAAGATGTCAGTGAAAGACAGAGGAGGCTTTCAGGATTCACATGCTGCCCTTGTTCTGAGCAGAGCAAGAGCCACCAGTATCACAGTGCCATCGTGGCAACTTTGAAGCCAGACTGAAGGCACAGAGATATTACTGTATTTCTTCAAGGACATCCTTCGGTCAGTCTTTTTGATCTCCAGCATTTTCCTGTCCAAGGGGTTCACCAGTAAGGAAAGGACAGGACAGGAGGAATGTTAGGCTGAAATGTTGTGCGAAGTCACGTAAGTGTGGGATAATAGTTTGGTTAACTGTTGGTGGGAATATATGTATGTCTAAGCTTCCCGAGTCTTGGAAAATACATTTCACTTTTAAATAAAAAAGCAAAGACTATTTTTCTTTCTTTTGAGTCGTCCTGCATGGTACTAGTGTCCTGTCAGATTATTCAACTTTGACTTAAAATGCTGAGACAATGAAAGTGTATCTTGTGATAAACAGAATCAAAAGGTATCGTTTCCTTGTAGACTGTCCCTGAATAACTTTCATTCCTTCAGTATTTTCATGGATCCATCCTATGAGCTGTGCAGACTTGGCAAAAATGCCTGTTGCATGTGTTATCAGCCAACAGCCAACCTTTCGGATACAAAACATTTACGTGAAGAAGTACTAACAGGAGAACTGAAGGCTTTCCACTGCAGAGCTGACAATTTCCCACCAGACGTGGGGAGAGGGAGTTGTGAGGGCATGAAATCGCCAGTGGGGCCTTCTTGGCAAGGAGGGAGCAGCTCAGCTTGCTCCAGCAAGGGCACTCTGCAGAGGAGGGCTTGGACCGCAAGTGGTGACCCACACAACAGTGCATCACGGGAAAGAAGGTAAGACCCAAACCACCTGGGAAAGCTGGAAGAGGACACAAAGCTAAGCAGGAAGCTTAAAGCGTATGCAAGAGCAGGCGGGGCCCAGCTTGAAAACGCATGAGCAATTCAAGAGTCAGACGACAGGCCAAGCGGCTGCATTTCGTACAGAAAACAGGCTGGGTTAGCTGTGGTGTGCTGTTGTATCACATTGGTAGGGAATCAAAAAACAGCTTTATTATGGGGCTAGAAAGTTAAAGTCTGACCTAGGGAGAAGGAGTCCTCTGAGTGGGTTCTGGGGAGAAAGAAGTAAGTGGGAGCGTATATCTCAAAGATTAAGGGCCCAAATGAGAGGAATAATGGCAGTGCTGTCAAAAACATTAGAGAAATAGAAAGTGGGGCAAAAAAGACCAAAAAGTTCATCTGATTCCTCTGGTTGTAGAAAAAGGGAAAGGTTGAGATGATTTAATGCTTAGAAACAGAGAGGTCACTGGAGGTGAGATTGACTTATAAATTATTACCACAAAGAAGAAGCTAAACTAGGTCATTTGAAACAATATCCTCCTCACCAAGTTGATCAGGTCCTCCCGAATGCCTCGCAGTTTCTCTTTAATACGAACATCTGCATTTTCAATCTGGTGCAACTTCATATTTAGTTGATCCATCGTCACAAGAAGTGTTTTGTGTGACAGCTCCAGCTCTTTCATCCTGTGATAGTGAGAATGGAGATCTGTGCTAAGTAAATACCACACAATACAGTTCCAGATGGATAAGCAGTCACCAGCAATGCATCAATTTATCTTTATTTTTCTATTTTTCTCCCAACAATAAAATAGTAACAAATAGTTGATCTCTAATAATAAACACATCATTCTTAACAAGTCTGCTGGGGTTTGCACATTACACTGGAGACTCTCAAAACTGTTAAAAGCAATGTCTATGTTCCTTCTCTCTCTCGCTAGCTTAATATGAAAACCATAAGCAAACACATTTACAAGATTAATGTTCACTGAAGCTTGGCACGCTATATGAAGTAACAACTTGCCATAAAGACAGCCACAACACTTTGGTCTCTACGTGTATCTGACCATAGAACTTTGCTAGGTTCAGGGTTAGCAAATCCAAATTTTATATGATGGTAAATGCTTCCCATTGAAATTAAGATTACAGGTAACCTATAAGCAACAATGTGTTTTACTGACCAAAGGGAAAACATCTTACTTGTAACATTCCTCACAGTGGAGACTGCAACCTATAATGGCTAACTGTATTGACTTTGTCCACAAAGTTGGATTTTTGACAAAATACAGTTTTGCTTCGCCTGTTGCTGAGAGCAATCTTTATATTTTCCTTAAAGATTTGCTTCCCTTTTCAGCCTACACATAAAAATTTTCCCCATGCTTTAAACAGCTCTGAATTCCAAAACATCCTTTTCTTGTTAAAGAAATTGTTTTTCCGAATCTCTCCTCTCCTGCGGCAGGTACTAAAGGCTCCTCTTCTCTCATTTCAGAGATGCACACGTTACCCCTGTGCCCCTCAGGACTGTGCTGTACCATATCTTCCTTGAATTTCTTCATTCAACCTTCAGCAGTCTTCCACTTGGCTCCCCTGCTCATTTCTATCTTCTAGCTTTGTCTTCCTGCCCCTACCTGCCAAAATTTCCTGCTACCTCCATCCCAGCATGACAACACTACCTTTGTTCAAAAATCTCACATAAAAACATATTTCTGAAGCAACAGGATTAAGATAGAAAACACATCATTAAGTAAGTACCTATTTATGTATCAAAGTGAACCTGACGAGGTCCTCCCCATCATAGTTCATCGCATAATCTAACACTGGTATCAAAGGAAACTGGGCCACATCAGCCCAAAACTCTGCCCTGGCTAATTACAGCTACTCACTCTGCTTCGCTCTTTTTTCCCCAGCAGTTCTGCCTTCCACATCATTCCTCATCTCATCTGTCTGATCTTCAGCCACAAGAACTTCAGGCACGGGATTGCTTTTCTCCCTACTGGCTAGCTAAGATCCCTGAAAATGGGCTTCCTATATCCCAGCCAAGTTTCAGCTGGCCATTTGCTCTCCTTGAACTGTTCTCTCATATTTTCTCTGTTTTGGTTGTAAATAAAGTTCTTCCCATCTTCCCCTCCCTGAAATCTTTGTTAAAATAGGCCTATTCCTACAAAAGCTTCTATTTCAAAAAAGTTTTATTATTACTTTGACAAAAAGTCCATTATTAAAACATTTCTGGCCAAATCCCTTGATGAATCAAAACAATTTAAGAAATTATACAAATAATTATTTTGAATGCCATTTATATTTTCTATCCTTTTAAATATTTGGCTTTGTTTAGAACAGTGCAGTTGCTGACTATCAAAAACTTGATCTTATTATTCCAGTCAACTGCATAATTAATGCTTAATGGAGCCTTTAGTTACTGTAATAATTAGCATTAACATACTAAACTAGATGAAGCTTTCTGAAACAAGGAACTTTTTTTTGCAACACAGAATTCCAAATTAACTCTTAAATTGAAAGGGATATATTTTACAAGCAGAATTTACACCTTGTGAATATTTAAGAATGAAACACCTGTCTGTTTATTTGCTACGAGATTTTACATGATGCTGTAAATCCAGTTCAGATAATAAAAATAAGAACTTAAATATACCATTTCTATTCTGACAGCTACACAGAACACTTATACATGCATCTTATCGGGCACCCTAAAACCACATAAAGTCTTTCTTTTTGCTAGTTTTACATGTATCATTTGCCAGCCAGTACATGGGGCAGAGAGAAGAGTACATTTGTCACATCACATTAATTTTGAATGCAAAACCCCCTTTTATTTACCTATTTCTTAGGACAGTATTTGACTCCACGTAGTCCTCTAGAACACCTTTCAGTTTTTGCTCCGACTTTTCCAGCTCTTCTACTCTGAGGTTCAAATTCTCTTCTCCAGCACTGTTTACTTGTTCATCAGGTACGCTTGCATCTTCTAATTCCTGGAAAAGCCAGGAAGTATCAATTTTAACATTGAAATTCAGAATATCAAATCCTTCATTACTGGGCATTTTAATACAGTAAGAAAATTCTTGTTCTCTCCCAGATGAAGGATCCATGATGGAAAAAAAAGCCAAATTATTGGGTTCTCAATGTGCAGCAGTTTAAGCATGCAATAAAAGAGCCTAAGTCTCTGATGATCAAATGAACAGTCCTTCTCAATTCTGAACACATTTATTATTTATGAGAAAGTCTCATTTCATTAGCCACAGAGTAATTCACCGTGTATGAAAGGAGCTGCAGTTCACAACATGAGATCCCCATAAAGGATTAAATTATACTAAATTATGAAGGAATTAGGCATCAAAGTTTTGAAAAGAAGATAACTTTCTACTAAATAGACGAGTTCATAAAATTGAGTATGTTTATCACAAAAAAATTGTACTTATTTCAGATAAAGGTATGATATTTTTATTGTTTCAAGACATAAGATTAAAAAAGGATATTTCTTATTCAAAAGGCAATCTATGACTATTTTAGAGAAACATTCAGTATATTTAACTGGTATTTTGGAATTCTGCATCCATTATTTTACTTAAAAGTCTACTTCACCTCTGACAGGTTATAAAACCATGCCTAAAAGGAATTTTTAAACTTGAGAAGGCAAGCTAAGCTTGGTTCTTTTCCTTTGCCTCTTTTAGCAATAGCTCTTAAAGTTCTTCAGCCTACAGTTCACCTTCAGTTACAGAAACTCTCCTCAGTTAGTCCTACAACTGGCATCAGTGAAATGCCTTTGCTTTTGCTACATTTGTATTGATTTGGAATTGGATCTGTAATTGGAATTCAACCACTGAGTTTGGAACTATTCTCCAGCAATTAATGCAATTCCTTTTTTCTTTTTTTTTCTTTTTTTTTTTTTTGTTAACAAATGCTGAACCTAAAGGGCAAAGAAGAAGATGAAAAAAAGGATCATTTATTTTTGCCAATGAAGAGCAGAAAATACCAGAAATTCAGTGAAAAAAGAATAAACAAAGAGGTCTTCTCTTAGTGTCCCATGTTTTGAGATACTGAATTAGGTTGTTTTTTTTTTTTTGTATCACTCACTGGCCTTATGTCAGCCACATAAGGACATAGAGCTGAAAACATTCAGCCACTTAAAAGCTACAGGTATTGAAAGACAAAGTATAAATCCACATGGACAACAAAGTTTAAACCACTTTGTGATCTTCTTTAGACTTACCAAGCCCAGTCCCTTCTCAGAGACCATGCATTCCTGAGACCTGTCCACAAAATCATGGCTTTCACCTGGCCTGTATAATTTGCTAAATGGAATGGTATCTTTGATTTTTAGGTCTCTGAGACACTAATATTTCTCCATATTTATTATTTGCAAATTGAATAGACATCCTGCTCCCTGACAATGGGCATCCCTGAACACCACTGCAAAAGGAATATATAATAACAGTGGACATTTTTACTCTGCTTATTAACAATTTACAGTGGAAGCCAAATTAATATAATTTTTATCTCTGCCCCAGTTTAGTATCTGACTCATAAACTGTAAAAAGAAAAATTCTTAGTGATATTTTTTGCAGAAAGTAGCCAACAGATAAAAATGGAGAGGAGAGACCAGGTGGGAAACAAACTGACACTTAAAATCATTATACTGATTTATACTTATGTATTTCTATTACATGTTTTTGTTTATAAGCGCACTTTTATTCACTGATATAGATATAATGAAGGTTAATACAATTTCTAAAGTTCTCAAACCTCACGATCCATTAGGCCTCTATGCTTCTGATGTTTCATCCTGAGAACTACTGAGTACTTCAGCATAAAACCAGGAAAGCTGTTATGATTCATATCAGAAATGAGAAACTTACTGTTTCCTTTTTCACTTGTATAGCTGGGAGAGATGAGTGAAAACCTGTGTCACAGCAAGTGACAGTCAGGCCCAGCATCTTGCATGGACTGAGTATAGTCATTATACCTGTTCCCAGCTCCATAATAAATATCAATATGCGATGGAGAGTAAGACTGGAGGGCTTTCAAAACTACAAATCCTGCTAGCTCAGCACAGAATAAAAATATCTCGAATGTCGTGGAAAATATCACCCAAACCAGCCAGTTGCTTTGAGAAAACTGTCACATATTAATTTCAATGTAACAAAACACATTAAAAAAAAAAAAAAGAAAACAAACCTGCTCATACCTTTTCTGCTTTGCAAGAAGACCGTCTCCTGTCTCTGCAGTGCGCTTACCGTTGCAGCCCCATGCATCCCATGTTTGTGCTTATCATTTAATTT